CCCCCTTTTCCTCCTCCCGCACCCGTTTCCCACAGCATCTTCTCCTCACGCCTCCCCATGCCCTCCCGTGCCCGCTGCCGCCCGCCGCTGCGCTGGCCGGTGCTGTGCATGTGCGGACCGTGCTGGCGATGCCGGTATTGCCCCTGTGGCATGGAGGTTTAGGGGAGCCGAGGCTGGGGGTCTGGCTGGCTGGGCCGAACCATGGGCTGGCATTGCGCTTGAAGCGGAGGGGATGGAAGGGGTCCTGGTGGCGCCACTGCCGGGAAGTGCTGGGGGGGCCGCGGCCGCTGCGCTGGCCGGTGCTGTGCATGTGCGGACCGTGCTGGCGATGCCGGTATTGCCCCTGTGGCATGGAGGTTTAGGGGAGCCGAGGCTGGGGGTCTGGCTGGCTGGGCCGAACCATGGGCTGGCATTGCGCTTGAAGCGGAGGGGATGGAAGGGGTCCTGGTGGCGCCACTGCCGGGAAGTGCTGGGGGGGCCGCGCTGCGCGGCGTCCTGGCACGGGGTGCGAGCCGTGGGGCTGGCCTGCTTGGAAATGTCTGTGCAGAGGGCAGGGGCTGTCCTTCCTGCCGCCTCCGCCCCGCTCCCGGCCGGCCGCCCTTGGACCAAAGCCCATCCCCTCCTGCTCTGGCCATGGGGCCAGGACCCCCTCTGCGGGGCCGGGCCCTGGTCCCATGGTGGGGGGACGCGGTGCCCTGAGCCAGGCTCTGCCGGGAGCCAGCAGGGCATTTCTCATCATCTCAGCCTGGGTCACACAGGGATTTTTGTAGCGTTGTTTTTTACTCGGAAATGATTGTCACTGGTTTTTTTTTTTCTTCTTTTTTTTTTATATATCTATATTAGTAAAGGCTGGAGACGTTTTGTACTGAGCTGCTGCATCCGGTCCTTCGGGAGGAAGGGGTGGGAAGGGAATCCTGCGCAGCTGGGCTGGGGGGGCAGCGCCGCCTGCCCTGGGGCCTCCCCGCTCGCCCCGGTGACTCAGCCGTTCCTGCCGTGCGTGCGGAGGCGGCTGCGGCCAGGGCAGCCTCCATCGGCCCGGCAGAGCGGGATTGCTCCGGCCGCATTCCTGTGTGGTCCTGTCCCTGGCCAGGGGCCTGGTGAGGGGCTTCTCTGTGCCTCCCCATCCCGCTAAAGCCGGGAGCAGAAGGGATGCTGCCCTGCCCTGCGCTCCCCTGCCCCGGGGCCAGATCAAACCCAGCCACGCCGAGCCGATTTTGGCCAGCACACCGCAGTCCCCTCTCTGGGACCCCAGGTCAGAGCTGTACGCATCCAGTGCTTACCCATCCCCTCCCTCCTCCAGCCAAAAGCCCCCGGGGGAGCTCGCATCCCGCCACACAGCCACGTGTCTCCTCTGTGGCTGCCTCTGATGGAAGCTGGCATTTCCAGGCTGTTTTGGTAAAGAGAACAGGTTTATTTCACTCATCCCATTAATTTTTCCAACAGGCTGTGCTGCCAGGAGAGGGCTCGCTTGCAGCGCCATGCGTGCCACCAGCCCCACCACCAGTGCGAGGTCCTGGCGTGGGCTTGCCCTTGGCACATCCCGATCCCTGCCCTGGCAGCCTGGCCCTGGCATGGGGAGGCTGTTGCACTCCGCAGCAGGAGTGGGACCCCAGTCTTTTTGGGGGAGGGAAAATTGAGAGAGGTGGGGAGAAACTAGGTCTGAGCTGGTTGCAGGCAGCAGGATGGCTTTGGCAAGGGGTTGGTGCCTCTGCTAGAGGCTGTGCCTGTCCCTGCCCCAGCTTGCTCCGGGCTGGGACCAGTCCCAGGGCACGTCTGGCAGCGTGACCGTACCCGGGGCAGCCCAAAACTCCGGCTTGTGCAAAGGAGGGTGGCACAGCCACGGCGTGGGGCTGGGGGTCCCCTGGGCGAGCGACTCCTGGGCGGGATCATGATCTGGGGCCAGGCTGTAGGCTGCCCTAGACGCAGGTGCAGTCCTGGGCCAGGATGTTGGGCACCGTCTCATACTTGAAGGAGTACCCGCCGTCGGAGGTGGTGCGGACGCGGAGGGAGCGCATGGTGCCGGGCAGCGCGGCACAGCAGAGCTGCACGCCCAGGCGGTGGCTGAGCCCATGGCCCTCGGCACAGCTCCCGTGGCAGTAGTGGAAAACAAAGCTGCTGGGATGCACGATCCACTTGTCCCAGCCCAGCTCCTCGAAGGAGATGTTGAGGGAAGCCCGGCGGCAGTTGGTGTGGGCAGCCAGGTCCTCGGACGGGCGCTGCAGCAGGCTCAGGGCGGCCGGGGACCAGGGCATGGCAGAGCGGCGAGCCCTCTCGCTGCCCTTGGCCCGGGTGGTGGCCACCAAGAAGGGCATCTTATCCCCCTCAGCTAGGCAGGGGCAGCTGGGGCAGCGCACCAGGAGCACGAAGAGTGGCTGCGAGAGCTGGGGCAGCAGCGCTGGGGCGAAGTGAAACACTGTCCAGTGCTCGGGCGTCTGCACCACCGTGGCCGTCACCGGCACGCGGCCCTGCGGCGACAGGGTCAGCACGTCAGGGGCCGAGTGGTTGGGGGCGGCTGAGGGGCCAGTGTAAAACCAGAGCTGGGCGGAGGTCACTGCGCGGCTCAGGGTGTGCGCCGAGGGCTGGAAGAGGTAGGTGAAAATCCCTTCTTCCTCCAGCAGCTTGTCCGGCTGCGTGGGCTCGCAGGGCACATCTGCAGGGGGAGAAAGATGCTCAGGGTGCGCACCCAAACCCGACGCCAGGTGGGAGGTGGGGTGTTGTAGAGGGTCCTCAGGGTGCTGGCAGGGCGCCTGGCTGCTGGTGTGGGCTGCGTCAGGGTGCGGGGGAGCTGAGGTCTAGTGCTATGCAGCAGCCGCTGCACTGCGCCCTGCAGCTGAGCCCTGCTGTGCCCTAGGCTGGTCTGTTACTGCTGCCCCCATCCCCCAGCGTCCTGCCCCATCTCCCAGTGTCCTGCCCCATAGCCGGTCATCCTGCTCCGTCCCACAGCATCCGGCCCTGTCCCTTAGTATCCCATCCCGTTCCCTAGTGCCCTGCCCCATTCCCTAGCATCCCACCCTATCACACCCTGCCTCCTCTTCAGCCCTCCCCATCTCTCTGCATCCCACGTGGCCCAGCAGTTCCCCAGCCTCTCGGCACCCTCTTGTGCCACCTGCCCCTCTCCTTGACTGCATCCTGGGCTGCTCTGCTTGTCCCTGCCTGCCATCCCTTTCCACCTCCCAGCTCTCCACCACACCTTGCCCGTGCCCCAGGCTGGCGTCCCCTCTTTCTCTTCTCCCGCGGACCCCCCCCGCAGCCCTCCACCCTGCTGCATCCCCACTGTCCAAGCCCCCACCCTGCTTCACCCCTCTGCCCTCTCCATCCTGCCAGGGCGTTCTCACCTGTGGAAGGGAAGAGGATCACCTGGGAGGTGTCCTCCAGCTCCTCGGGCTCGACTTCGGTGTTTTCAAGGACATCTCTCCGGTGCACCCTCCTTGCTTCCTTCTGGGGCTCCTCCTGGAGAAGCGGGGGGCTGAGATGCTCCAGCACCCGAGCCCGCACCTTAGCCAGGATGAGCTGCCGATCGGCACCAGCCCCGGTGCAGCCGGCCAGGGCGGCGGTGGGCAGCATGGCAGGCAGCAGGTGCAGGAGGAGCAGCATGACCGTGGGGCGCACAGTGGGCCGGTGGCTCAGGAGGCTCTGCCGCGGGCTCCTGCCTGCCTGCCTGGCCCGTCTGCCCGCTGCGCTCCCCCCCGGGCAGGGTGGCATTGAGACCTATCTGACACTGACGCAAACGTCTGCTCGCCGTGAATATTATCTCTGGGCAGCGAAAGCACTGAGACGTCTGGAATGTGAGGACTGCAAGGACAGTGTGGTCTGGGGGGGGACGGCGCCCGGGCAGGGGGGCGCGGGGGGGGGATGCTGGCAGGGGGCGTGTGCCAGGAAGGTTGTCCTGCACTGGCAGGGACGGAGGGGGCACCCCGGGCAAACTTTGCAGCTGCCAGTGCTGCGTGTCCCCTGTGCTGGAGGAGCTGCAGATTTGGAGCTTCTGGGGGGACAGTGGGAGGTGGCAGCAGCTGTGCACAGCAGGGACATCTGGGCAGGGACGTGATGGGGTCCAGATCCCTGCGAGACCCCAGTGTGGGGGGGCATGTTAGGGGTAGCAGACTGGGCACCCTCCTGCCGGGGATGGCTGGGACACCCCAGGGTCACAGGGCAGCTGGGACATGAGGAGGGCAAGCTGGGGGATAGGGGGCTGTGGCATTTCCGGGGCAGGCTGGAGGCTGGTGAGATCCTGGGGATGTGAAGCAGGAGGGATGGCAAGACGTCCCCATGCTGCCTGGGGCTGGGAAAGGCTGGACAAGCTTCAGGAGAAGAGAAGGAGGAGGAAAGGTGAGGCAGGGCCAGGCCAGCTGGAGACCCCGCAGCAGCGCTGGGAGAAGGGTGCTGTAGTGCTGTTGGGGCTGGCTGGCCGAAGTCTGGCTCCTGGGGCAGGAGGGGCGCAGGCTGTGAGGGGACCCAGCGTGTCCTGCCCTTCCTCCTGCCGCTGCCTGTGGGGACAGTGCCAGGCGTCCCCCATCCAGCAGCCCTGCCTGCGGGGTGGTGGGCAGCCTCTGCACCCCTCCGCTCCTCCTGCAGCCCAGCATCCCACACAGCGTGGCCCGTGCGGCACATCCCATCCCCTGCAGCCTGGCATCTCACACAGCATCTGGTGCTGCGCGTCCCACCCTGTGCAGCATGTCCTGTGTGGCATGTCCCGTCCTACTGCAGCCTGGTGTCCCGTGCCATACACCCCGTGCTGTGCACCCCGTGCGGTGTGTTGCCTCCTGCTGCAGGCTGACCCGGCACCGAGGCAGGGCCGGGTTTGCGGCATGGCAGATCTCCGGCGGTGGAGTGCTGCCTGCCTACTCCGGGCTGGGTGGCTCCCACCAGGCCGCTATACATAGGCCAGCCCTGCCCCGGCGAGGCGCTGAATGGAGCAGGCTCAGCCTTATCAACCCAGCGTGTCATCAGAAGGTATTTTTGGGGACAGCAGCTGCAGGCATTTGTAACGTTTGGTCCCTGCGCGCTGACACCCGGGAGCGGAGCTGGGGCAAGCGGCAGGAGCTGGTGCTGGCACTGGGAGACACAGGGGAGAGGCGGCGAAGCGAGGTGTGTGCCTGGGGCAGGGGACTGGGCTGTGGGGCTGCATGGGGCAGGGCGATCGGGGAAGGGGGTGGTTGAAGGGGCAGTAGGGTGGCTGAGCCACTGAGGCTGTGCGTGTCTGCAGGAGCTGCTGTGGGGCGGCCCATGGGTCTGGGGAGCATGTGGCCGGGGACATGGCTCTGAATGGATGCACCATCCCAGGGGTAGGGGTCTGGGAGGAGCTGGCCCTGATCCCTTCCACTCCCTGGGGACCGGCCCTCTCCCACCATCCCCTCTGGCTCATTCAGGGAGTATTTTGCTTTCTCTTCCCCCTGCCCGAGGGAGGCAGAGACGCCTCTGCCCTAGCCCTGGCCATCGTGCGGGCAGAGGCTGGGGTGTGCTCACCCAGGGGAGGCACGGAGCACCCTGCTCCGCTCCTTCCCGTTGCAATGGGCACAGTTACCTGCAGTGCTGGGGATGGAGGCAGTGCCCTCCAAAAGCAGGAGCTGTCCCCCAGGCCTTCCCTCTGCCCCCTGGGGCTTGAGCGACTGATTATTTCCAGCTGGGGCTTTCAATACCCAAGGGCTGGATCCTGCCTGTGGGACCACGCTCTGGAGACGGACCTGCTCCTGGCAGAGCCCTGCTTTGCCCCAGGGCAGGGTCCTGCAGGAGACCTCTGGGTGCAGGGGGGTCCCTTGCCCCTCTGAGCTTGGGAGGAAGCGCCTGGATCCGGCAACAGTCCCATATCAGCACCTGCCTGCTGAG